TCTTAATATGTCCATTAGATCCATCTGGTCCAATGTGTCTCATCTTCTGAAAGAAAGAAAAAGAAAGAAAGAGAAAGAAAGAAAGAAAGAAAGAAAGAAAGAAAGAAAGAAAGAAAGAAAGAAAGAAAGAAAAGAAAGAGGAAGGAAAGAAGGAAGAGAAAGAAAGAAAGATTTCTCCCTGCCCCAACAACAATGCAAACAATGTTTGCAGTCAATGAGATACTGCCACAACCTTGAACTCCTATTCTTTCCCAGTAAACTTTTGTTGAAAACAACCTTTCCCAATTTCTTTCTAACACCTAATTAAAGCTTACCTTCCCTTTGTCTCTTCTGATTTGCCTGTGGTTCACCATAGCATGCATGTTTCAAATTACAAGTCCTCTGTTATCCCCAAATAAGCTCATTTTGTTAGTGAAATAACTGGCTCTTTTATATTTAAGGTTGATGTCTTAACATAAAAATTATTTTGAGCTGAAGCATATTGAGAAGCAGCGAACCCAGAAAAAGCTCTCTCTTTACTGCCTAAAAGCAGGAAATAAATTCTCCTTTACTGGAGACAGACTTATCAGGCCAGTGATGGCACCAGAGGAATCTGCAGAAAACCTTATGTCAGTAGTTTCCTTCCGTGTTTCTACCTTCCCACAGTTTGCTGCCTTTGGAGCCTAAAATCCTCCCTTGTCTTATCATTTCTCTGCAAATTTATTATTGTTCATTGAAGATGGTACAGAAGCTGGAGTGCTAAGCCAGACTGCTTTTGAGTTACTTTTTTGAGGTTTCTCTATGCGATGTTCGCTGCTTGCACTATATAATGTTTTTCTCTTGCTAACCTGTCTTTATGTTAAAGAGCCCCAGCTGAAAACGTCAGATAGGTAGGGGCCATGTTGCCTCCCCTACAAGGTGAAGAAGTCTACATTCCTTCCAAAGAGGTCACAGTCTTAGACACCTGGTTCTATCACCAGTTTCTCAGTTTCCTTCCATTCCTTACCCACACACTTGATTACCCCCTCACCTCCCAGCCCACCTTGAGACCCTGTACCCCCACACCTGGGCTCTTTAATCTTTATTCAAATTATCCCACGGCATGTAAAGCCCCCCTTCAAATGCAAGTCAATTCTATCACCTTCCTCATAGAACTATCTCCAGTTCCTCAGCTGGAAATAACAAGTTCCTCCCTTTGGTTGTCCATTTCCCTTAGATAGTAGCAGGTGAGTGAATGGTAAAATTACAAGAAAAAAACCCCTGTAAACCCAGCTATGGTGCTCTAGGCAAATCAATTAATAGCTGTGAAATTTCTGTCATCCAGAAAAGAAAACCATGTTGCAGTATATGAATAATATTATGTAAATGATGTACTGTATCCACATATAAATAGTATCCTAATTGCTTAAAATGTCCGTTTAACTGTTGTATCTCCTATAATGTGTTATACATACACATGAAATACATACTCCTAGTTAGTACAAAATTTCATAAATGTAAAACAACGATAGCACTGTTTTCTGAGTGATAAGATTGTGGGATTTTCGCCACATCTTCACTGTTTTGAAATCAAGCTACTTTGTCCCCTTCTGTAGCCACACAGCTTCTGCCGATTTGTCAGTTTGTTGCTTCTCAGCTTCAAATTCACCCTTCTTGCCTGTTCCGGACAGTGGACAGCTGATCTGGCCCTTTCCTTTCCCTCCTGTCATGATAGGTATGAATCTCTGCCAGTGGACCATGCCTGGAGCACGGAGGAGGAAAGACTTGCCTTCCTGCTTCCAGTGTGCTTACCCATCAGGCCCTCCAAAACTTCTCTCCAACACAAGAGCAACAGGAAACCTGGAAAAAATGGTCAGAAACAACATTTTTGAAACTCTAGAAATTAGGGGCGCCTGGGTGGCTCAGTCAGTTAAGCGGCTGACTTTGGCTCGGGTCATGATCTCGCGGTCCGTGGGTTCGAGCCCCGCGTCGGGCTCTGGGCTGATGGCTCAGAGCCTGGAGCCTGCTTCCGGTTCTGTGTCTCCCTCTCTCTCTGCCCCTCCCCCGTTCATGCTCTGTCTCTCTCTGTCTCAAAAATAAACAAACGTTAAAAAAAATTTTAAAACAAAAAACAAAACAAAAAAACATACTCTTACCATTCAATTCAGCAACTGTTCTCCTGTTTTGGCGTCTACCCAGAGGACTGGGAATCTCATGTCTATACCACACCTGCAGATGGATATTTATAGCAACTTTATTACATAATTTCCAGAACCTGAAAGCAACATAGGTTTCCTTCAGTAGGTGATTGGATAAGTAAACCTTGGTCTATCCCGACGATGGGATATTACTGAAGTGCTAAAAAGAGATGAGCTCGTCCACTTTTGTGTACATGTCCTTGGCAACTGAGGTGTTGGCAGGCAGGCACCATGGATCAGGTAATGGAGTGCATAAAGCCAAGTCGCCAGTTTGTGAAGGGCTCAGTTTGACTGGTTAAAAGATGCACTACACCCGACAGCAAAGAATTCCAGAAGATTGTCATGGCAACAGCAATAAGATACGCTATAATAGGATTCATTGGCTTTTTTTGTGAAATCGATGCATATTCCTATCAATAACATCATTGTTGGTGGCTGAATATCTTTTAAGAAGAGTTTTTCATCTTGGGGATTGGTAAACAAGTGAGAATTGAAGAAGCTCATGGAGTAAAAATTTGCCTGTATGTTTTGGGTTTTTCTATGATTTTTTTCCTCCAGATGTTTTGTATTTCTAAATTAAAATAATTTTGAAATAACAAAATAAAAATTGAGCTATCAAACCATGAAAAGACATAAAGACATAAAGGAAAATTAAATGCATATTACTGAGTGAAAGAAGCCACTCTGAAAAGGCTACATACTGTGTGATTCCAACTCCGTGACCTTCTGGAAAAGCCTAAACTGTAAAACAGTAAAAAGTTTGGTGCTTGCCAGGGGTGAGGGGAAAGGATAGGGGTAGGATGAATTCAGGGGATTTCTAGGGCAGTGAAACTATATACTATAATATAATACCATAATGGTGGGTACGTGTCATTATGCATTTGTCTAAATTCATAGAATGTACACCAAGAATGATGTAGACCATGGACTTTGAGCAATAATGAAGTGAAAAACTGCTAATAAGTAAACAAATAAAATTTTTACCTAACCCAAAGTCATTAAGATATTTTGTTTTCATCTACAAGCTTCATTGCTTACATTTCATATTTAGTTTTGCAGTACACCTGGAATAAATTTTTGTGTATGGTGTGTACATTTTTTTCTTCATATGACTTTTCAAATGACTCTGTACTATTTTTTGAAAACCATCCTTTTCCCATGACACACTGTATTTATCCTCACCCTTTGTAATAGCTATAAAGTATTCCATTCTAAGTCACTCCCATTACTTATTTACCATCTGCCACGGCCTCTGCTATCATCAAACAGCATGAACATCTTTGGAGATCAAGGCATTCTTCTGCAATTGTTAAAAGAAAAGTGGAACTGAACTTCTGAGCCAGAAAACATTTTTTGAAAATTAATAAGTGATATGGTTCAAAACTGAAAGAATACAAAAAGGCCCAGTGAAAAGTTCACCTCCTACCAATCCTTCCAGTCCCTCCACCAGGTAACTGCAGTCATGAAATCTTGAGTATCTTTGCAGAAACCTTATAATGGACGAACAAGCATTAGTTACATGTTTTTCTTTACATAGCTAGTGGCACACTGTATGTTCTGTTCTGCATCTTGCCTTTTTAGCTAAACAATGTATGTTAGAAGTCTTCCTATTACTGCACATAAACAAGCATCGTCATTCATTTTTGAGGCCACATATTCCATTGGAAGGGTATACCGCCACTTAGTCTCCTACTGATGGACATCTGGAACGTTTCCAGTTTTTGCTGTTCCAATAATGCTACAATGAGTAACTTTGCACATGCCGTTTTACATGTGTGCGGTACATCTGTTGGGGGAATTTCTAGAAGTGGACTTGCTGGGTCCAAGGGGATATGCATCTGTCATTTGACCAGCATCACCAAATTACACTCCCACAAGCAAAGGGTAAGAGTTCCTGTTTTCCCATAGCCCTGGCCTTTTATTTATTTATTATTATTATTTAATTTTTAAAATGTTTATTTACCTTTGAGAGAGAGAGAGACAGAGACAAAGAGACAGAGCACGAGTGGGGTAGGGGCAGAAAGACGGAGACACAGAATCCCAAGCAGGCTCCAGGTTCTGAGCTGTCAGCACAGAGCCCAACCGGGGGCCGAACCCACGAACCGCGAGATCATGGCCTGAGCCGAAGTCAGACACCTAGCCGACTGAACCACCCAGGGGCCCCTGACTAATGGCCTTTTAGATCTGGGATCTTTAGCCATTCGATAGGTGGAAAATTGTAGATTATTTCGCATTTATTTTATCGTGGTGAGATCGCGCATCTTTTCCGAAGTTTAACTTCGCAACTTGTGTTTTTGTCAAAATCCTTTGTATACACTTCTTTAAAATCGCTCACTGCAATTTCCTCCTGATGTTTCCTCATGAGAAGCCTTAGACTTGGGCTTCCTGGTCAGAGTTCGAACTTTTTAAAAGGTCCCAGCTGACCGTCCAGAAGGGAGGCCCCGTTGATGCTCCTTCCACAACTTGGTCCTGAACCGGGCTCCCTTCCTCACTGACTCCTGAGTAAGCTTGAAGCTGGCATCTCCAGCTACAGATGGGGGAACCCTGGCCGGCTGGGGAGGAGTTGGCCCCGCCCAGTCACCAGGAGTCCCCGCCCCCGACGCGTAGCCCCGCCCCGACCCCCGCCTATCACGACCACGCGGCCCCGCCCCCTCCGCGTCCCTGGCGTCGCACGTCACGTGACGTCCAGAAGCCGCGGGCAGGGGAAGCCGTCCGCCATTGTTTCCCCGCCCCGGCGCTGGCGCCCTCCGCGCACGATGGCTTCCCCCGAATGAAGCGCGCTGCGGCCGGACCGCGGGGAACCGGCGAAGGCGCAGACGACGCCCGGACACCGTCCCCAGCTCCGGTCGGCCGCCCGGTCCGGCTCCCGGAAGCAGCCCGTTGCTAGGCAACCGCGTCGCTCCAGCGGGGAGGGGCGGGGCGTGCGGAGGGTCTGCATGGACCAGTACTGCATCCTGGGCCGCATCGGGGAGGGCGCGCACGGCATCGTCTTCAAGGCCAAGCACGTGGAGGTGAGCGGGGCCGTGGGATCTGCGCCTGCAGCCGTTCCTGGCCGAGGGACGCTCCCCCCCACCCCCCGCCACCGTTTCCCCTGCCCGCGTGTGCACCGCTGCGCCTGCCTCCTCGCCCCGCTTCGTGGTGTGCGCCCACCACTTTGGCCCCCATCAGTGGGTGCCGTCCGGGTTGCAAGCTTCCCACCCACCCGCGAGGCCACAGCAGCTATGCCGCGCGTGCCCGAGGAGCGTGGCCTGAAAGCCTCTTAGCTGTTTGCGCGGCCCTGGGACAGCTGGTCCCGGGCTGTACCTGATTTCCCTCCCTTCCCACCCCACGAGGCCCCTGGGCCTCTGTGTCCCACCCAGGTGGCGCCTTTCCCGTCCCCGTGGCCCCTCTCCCAGCCTGGGATGGGTGGCAGTGTCTGCGTTCTGTCCTGCACAGACTGGGGAGATCGTGGCCCTCAAGAAAGTGGCCCTGCGGCGGCTGGAGGATGGCATCCCCAACCAGGCCTTGCGGGAGATCAAAGCCCTGCAGGAGATCGAGGACAATCAGCACGTGAGTGGGGCTGGGGTTGGAGGGCCTCTCCTTCCCTTGTCCACCTCATCCACCCACCGACTTCACTCCTCACTCATCCCTCTTACCCACTGATTTTCTTCCCTTACTCATTCTCTTCTTCACTGACTTCTTTCCATAAAGCATTTAGTGATTTTTAATGATAACGATCACTGCCACCCATTGAGCTTCTGTTCTGGTCACAGGCTGGGTTAACTGTTTCAGGTATTTGTCATTCTGAGTTCTCCGCTGCTCAGCCAGGCCCATTTCAGGATCTCCCCTCTGCCAGCTTGTGGGCGCTCGGCTGGTCCCCGGGGGGCTTTGGTCAGGGTCTGATCGAGGACGTTCTAACCTTGGGTCCTCTCATGGGCCCTACCCTGTGCTGGGCGTTGGCCCCGAGCGGACTTCTGAGGATTTAAGTGCTGCAGGGGAGATGGACAGAGGCTGCAGAGCCCACGTGGCTTGGTCCATGGGGCTGGGAGGCGCTGTGGGCACGCGAGGAGGGGCACTTCCCCCCAGCCTGTTGCTCTTCACGGTGCCGTCTCTCATCCCTGGGAGGTGACTGGTGTATCCTGTCGTGCTCTGACTTGCTTGTTATCCTCCTCCTCATGGAGATGTCCATGACATGTTGGCTATGTAACAGAAGCACTTTGTAAACTGCTTGTAAAACACATAAACTATGCACCCTAGTTCTGCACAAACATGTGTGCCTATATGTGAGTGTGGGATTGATTGTACGTACCCTGTCTGTTGTAAAGTCGGCTAGAATGTGCTGTAAGTTTGATTGTAGGTGATAGGGTTTTTTTCTTCTGTTGTTTTTTCTTTATAATTCTGTGTGTTTGAGTATATGTGTGTGACCTGGGGAATGATTGGGTGCTATCTTCAAAGTCTGAAAACCAGCAATAAAAGTCCACGGGCTCAGGGCACCTGGGTGGCTCAGTCGGTTGAGTGTCTGACTTCGCTCAGGTTGTGATCTCACGGTTTGTGAGTTCAAGCCCCACGTACGGGCTTGCTGCTCTCAGCTTAGAGCCTACTTCAGACCCTCTGTCTCCATCTCTCTGCTCCTCCCCCTCCCCTCAAAAATAAACAAACATTAAGAAAATTAAACAAAAAAAAGGTCCACGGGCTTGCACACACAGCCCATACATGGGAGGGTGACACGGGCCCTCCACCTGTGAGTCAGCAGCCCTGGAGGTCCCACCTTCAGATGCCCCAGCGTGGAGCCCGTGCTGCCCTCATCTCCGACCCGAATGACCACGCCGTTTCCTTGCTGGTGCTCCCCTCCCCACCGTCCAAAAGTGTGGATGAAACCCTTCACTTCCCTGCTGGAAAAGCCCACTGGCTTTTCTTCACACTGAGAGCTGCAGCCCCTCTCCATCCTACGTGACCTCTGAAGCGTCCCCTGTGACGGGTACCGTCCGGGCCTCAGCACAGGGCAAACGTCCTTCCCGTAAAGGACCCTACGTGCCCGTGTCCCTCCTGCCGCCTCACTGCCCCCTCTGCCCCCAGGGCTTTGTGCTTGGTGCTCCTCTGTCTGTGCTCCTTCCCGCATCCCTGCCTTACCGACTCCCCCCGCCCTGTCTGTCCTCGTCAGAACCGGGACACCCCAGCCGTTGGCTCGCTCAGTTGTCTGTCTCCCTGTGCTGTGAGCACAGCACAGGCCCTGCCAGGCCTTGCTCCTGCTCCGTGTTGTGCAGCCTGGCCCCGCTGACCCGTGGTCCCTTGGGAAGTGTATGTGACATGTGTCCAGCTCTCCTGGTGCTGGGGTTTCATGGCCCTAGAGGAGCCCAGAGGAGACCTGTGCCCTGTGTGTGTTTGTGTGTGTGTGAGTGAGGGGCAGGGGTAGGGGGGGACACTGCAGGTGGAGCCCAGTCACTGCCCTGGGTGACCTTCCCACCTCCTCTTCCCTGAGTCAGTGAGTGGAGTGTTAGATGGGGACCATCTTCTCTCTGGAGAGGGGAACAACTGGGGATTCCGCATCCCTGGTTCTGAGCTCAGGTCTCACATCACCCACCCGCCTGGTCCTCTGTCTGGGGCGGGGCTGGGGTCCCCCAGCGGGTCTGAGTGATGTGGGTCCCAGGGCTGACCGGATGCCTGCCCGCAGGTGGTGCAGCTGAAGGCCGTGTTCCCGCACGGCGCAGGCTTTGTGCTGGCCTTCGAGTTCATGCTGTCGGATCTGGCCGAGGTGGTGCGCCACGCCCAGAGGCCCCTGGGCCAGGCACAGGTCAAGAGCTACCTGCAGATGCTGCTCAAGGGTGTGGCATTCTGCCACGCCAACAACATCGTGCATCGGGTCAGTGTCAGCACGGGCTGCGGCGGGACCTGCGGGCCAGCCCTTGAAGAGGGGTCAGAGGGGCAAGACCCGTGGTGTGGCCACACCACAGACTCAGTGGCCCTGGAGAGGGTGGGGCCTGGGCTGACCCGGGTGCTTAGCCTGCCACACCCTCCTGCCCCAAGGTCCTCCAGGGGTGTGGAGGAACTGATGCCCCCTTTGGTGTCTTCAGGACCTGAAACCGGCCAACCTGCTCATCAGTGCCTCAGGCCAGCTCAAGATAGCAGACTTTGGCCTGGCCCGGGTCTTCTCCCCAGATGGCAGCCGCCTCTACACACACCAGGTGGCCACCAGGTAGGGAGGGCCAGTTCCCAGGCAGGAGTTGGCAGAGGACAGGCCCCAACCTTCTCACCGGGCTGAGATGCTTCTGGACCTTCTGTTCAGACATTGCTTGTGGGGCTGATGTGCGGCGGGGGTGACCTTTCTGGGCAGCCTCCGTCAGACGAGCGAGCTGGCTGTGCCCACCCCCTCCTCCCAGGTGGTATCGAGCCCCGGAGCTCCTGTATGGTGCCCGCCAGTATGACCAGGGCGTCGACCTGTGGTGAGACTTCTGTGGGCTGGGCACGGGGGAATGTGGGGTTGCTAAGCCATTTGGGGGCGTCTTCGTGCTGTGAGCTCTAGGTTGCCTTGGGGGTGTTTTCCCTCGTTGGGGAGTCTCTGAGGAGTTTGGGGTCAGTTTTCACTTGGGTGGGGGTCAGGTGTGATGGGAGCAGGAAGCATCTGGGCTGGAGTCAGGGAGGTGGTTGAGGCTCAAGGCATGGATCCTCTAATCTGGGAGGCAGGGGTTGGTTATATGCCTGGGTGTGAAGGCTCTGAGCTTTATTTGGGTAGGATGGTTTGTCCATGCCTAGGCACTTGAGATTTGGGGGCTGTTTTGGAGGTCTGTCCCAGAAAGTGAGGAGTGAGAGACGGTGGCTGCGTGTCCCAGAAACTGAGGCTCTGAGAAGTCTCAGAACCACCGAGGGGGTTGCTATGTTTTCTAGGGTTGAGGCCAGTGAGCTGTTGGAGAGGGGGACCTGGTCTGTGTTCTAGGCTTGTGGGTTTTGTTTACGAGTCTGTAGCCTCAGGTACGAAGCCGCTGTGCTATTCTGTGGTTCCTTGGCCCTAGTATGGGGTGTGGGCGCAGTGTGGCGAGATCTGTGTCATAGTGTGAGGCGATCGAACTGGTGTGGGGAGATCTCTGAGCTGTCTGGGTCTGTGTCCGCAGGGCTGTGGGCTGCATCCTGGGGGAATTGTTGAACGGATCCCCTCTCTTCCCTGGAGAGAATGACATCGAGCAGCTTTGCTGTGTGCTTCGAATCCTGGGCACCCCCAGTCCTCAAGTCTGGCCGGTTTGCAGGGGTTCCCAGTGGGGAACGGGTGGGGGCAGGTGTCTTCCCTTCCCCCCAACAGCTAGGACCACCCTCTGTGCCTTTTCTCTTGTGGCTCCACACCTCCCTGGCCCCCTCCCCTCCCCCCAGACCACTGTTCTGGCCTCTCTTGGCGGCTCCTCCCATCCTGCCCTGCTGGATGCAGGAAGCCGGGTCCTGTCCCTCCCCTCCTGCCGGCACACTGGCACTTTGTACACATGCCTGAGACGTGGGGTGGGGGGGGATGACCGGTGAGCAGGTGGGCCACAGCCGCACGGACTGATGACCATGGTCGTAGGAGATCACGGACCTGCCCGACTACAACAAGATCTCCTTCAAGGAGCAGGCGCCTGTGCCCCTGGAGGAGGTGCTGCCCGATGCGTCTCCCCAGGCCCTGGACCTGCTGGGGCTGTTCCTCCTCTACCCTCCGCGCCAGCGCATCTCAGCCTCCCAGGTAGGGTGACCCCGTTTCCCTGACCCTCCTCACTCGGGGCCCTGTGATAGGCTGGCACCAGAACCCGGGGGGCCACGGGCAGGCGGGGACCCCAGTAGAAGGCATGGCCACCTTGCCGGAGAGCGCGCCTGGGTTGTGGGTGACCGGCTGCCTCATCCCTCCAGTGGATATTTACTCTGCATCTGCACACGCCTGGCATCTTCCTGGGCCCTGGGGGTGGGCAGGTGGGACTGACTCTGGGGGGGGGGGTGCCAGTTTAAGCTTGGGGAGGTGTTTTTCAGGGAGAAATGATGAGCAGAGGTCTGGCGAGGGGGACCTGGAAAGGGGTTGTGTGGCTGGGAAGGAGAGGCAGGACCATGGGCTGACATGGGAGCCTCTCTCGGGTGTCCCCGTGCCCTGCCCGCCCCAGTACTAGCAGGCCCCTGGTGAGCCGTCTCAGCGGACCAAGGCTGCTGGACCAAGACCACCTGCCCGCCTCCCTGTCTACACCACTGCCTCTCAGATCCTGCTTGTGTCTCTTCGGGGCACCCTCCCCTGGCAGGCCAGCTCAGACCCCAGCAGGGCTCTCCTGTGGCTCCCTCTCCAAGCAATCACATGCGGGGGGACATCACCTCTGTGACCCTCCTGGCCACTCTCCCCCCGCCCCCGGGCCCCAGGCCTGCTGTGTGTCCTCAGGCCTTAACTGTGCGCCTCTGGGATCTCTGCTCCAGCACCCCTCCCTGGAGCTCGCCCGCACTGCTCTGCAGGCCCGCAGCCTCTCTGGTCCCCTCAACCTCCGCTGTCGCTCTGACAGCACTAGTCATCTGACGCTCCCTGTCCCTTTCTCCTCTGTCTTGTCTGTCACCCATACCCCTGACTTGGGGAAGACTCACGGGGAGGCTCTGTGTTCTGCCCCCTGCTGGCTCCCGCGAACCTGTAACGGTGTTCAGGTGCTGAGCACGTGGAGATGCTGTGGAGCAGGTGTGGGAACGAGCCTTGGCAGGGCAGTGCTCCATCCTCCCTCAGAGGCAGGTGAGCTGAGGTTGGGACGGGGAGGTGACTCATTGCCTTCTGTCCCTTGATTGCCGCCCGCAGGCCCTCCTGCATCAGTACTTCTTCACGGCTCCCCTGCCTGCCCACCCCTCGGAGCTGCCGATTCCCCAGCGCCCAGGGGGACCCACCCCCAAGGCCCACCCGGGCCCCCCCCACGTCCATGACTTCCACGTGGACCGGCCTCTCGAAGAGTCACTGTTGAACCCGGAGCTGATTCGGCCCTTCATCCCGGAGGGCTGACGCTGGGCCCGCCCTGCCGTCCTGTCCCCCAGAGCCCCCTGGGCTTCTTGTTTCTCTGCTGAGCCTGACCCGACCTCCGGTGGCCTCCACACAGCCTCACTAGGTCCACCCCTCACCTGGTCTGCTCCCAGGCTGGGAATGAGGACATCCGGCTCCAGCAGAGGGGACCTACAGCCGGTGCCATTGGCCTCCCACGTGCGTGCTGCCAACTGACCCATCAGAGGGACACCGTGAGCTCCGTGGCTGTGGCTGCCATGGTGCTGGTTGCAGGCCCTGCCTTCCCGGTCAGGGATGGCCCTGGTGGAGCCATCTAGGGGAGCAGAGAGTGTAAGGTGTCCTCACGTGGGAACATGATGGGAGGGCAGCTTTGTTTGATTTTGTTTTCAGAGGCATCGAAAGCTAGTTCACTTTGGAGATTTATTGTAAAAAGCCCAGGTAGTTCTGCCTGGTGTCAGCCCCCCTCCATTCCTACCGAGGGAAGTGGCCAAGGTGGCAGGCATCGTTTCCTGGCCCTTGTTTCTCTGTGGTCACCAGGAATGCGGCTCCATTCACGGCTCCTCCAGTCCTGGGGGCTTCATGCAGTGGGGCTCCCATTTGGAGGTGCAGTGGCAGAATTCAAGCCCCAGGATGGCTCAGGTTGGGGACCGATCGGGGTCAAGCCACTTACCAGCATCTCTACCCTGAGGACAAGGGTGAGCCAGGACCAGACGTGCCACCTCCTTACTCAGGTACAGAGCAAGTGAGGAGATAGGCATTCTTGGAAGTCATTTGTTAATTCAGTAAATCCGAATACTTAAGCCCAGTTGGCTCTTGTTTGCTTGCTTAATAAATTTTGATCAGCTGATTCTATAATCTACACAGAAATGAAAGGGTTAAGAGAAGGCAGAAGAGAAAAACCAGGGAAGGACTCACTGTTAGACCTAAGACTTTTCATAGGGCCTGTTGAGACAGTGCAGTCCTGGTTCAGGAAGAGTTAAAAACGGACCAGAGAAACAAACATATCCTTCGCAATCTCTTACTCTTAAAATGTGCATTTTGTTCTTCATGTGGCTAAACCCGTGTCAGCCCTGAGCACAGGTGACACTGCCAGGCATTGCCTCCAAGCTTCTGGGGAAATACAAAACAATAGACAGCGTTGCTTTCAGGGAGAGGTCTGATGTTTTAGGGATCTGTCCTCTGCCTGTTTGTCCAGCCCCATCTTCTGTCGATGCCAAGCTCCAGTCTAGCTAATTTCTGGGAGCTCTCAGCTCCGTTTAAATTTGAGCCTGTACCCACGTCTGGATCACTGACCCTCCACAACTCCATCCACAGGATACTCTAAACTTGCCCTTGAACCTGACCTCACCTTGAATGTCAAGGTCGGAGTGAGGCTGAGGGTCACTGTGAAAGCAAAGGTGAGGCCAGGGTGAAGATCCCAGTGATGGTCACAGTGAGTGTCAGGGTCAGGTGAGGGTAGGGATTCAGGATAGCGGGGATGGCAAGGTTGAGGGTTGTGAGCAGGGTGAGGTTGGAGGAGGGTCAAGGTCAAGGGTGAGTGTCAGGACCAGGGGCTGGCCCGAATCTGGTAAATGAGTGGCCCATGTCAAAGGCCAGGTTGAGAGCGGCAAGGGTCCGAAATGGAGGACAGGTCAAAGGTGAAGTCAAAGGCCAGAGCAAGGGCTTGGGAGGGGCTGGGTTCAAGACCACCACAATGTCCAACGTGAGGGTCAGTGCAGGGGTGAAGGTCAGAGCGAGAGCCAAGGGGTGGTCAGAGGCAAGTGGAAGGTCAGGGAGGAGCGAGGCCGACTGGCTCCAGCTTAAGGCAGAGGATTGACCCAACAGAACGGAAGCATTGAGCACTGGGTGGGTGTAGTCTGCGGGGCGGAAGTGGGGTGGGATGGGCGGGGTTTGGCCGTCCGCAGCGGAAGGAAGCATCTTGGCGTGCTCCTCGGCCTGCGGGCCAGAAGCACGGCGTGATGGGCGGGGTTTGGCCCTCGGGGCGGAAGCGTGGCGAGATGGGCGGGGTTTGGCCGGAAGGCCAGAAGCGCGTGGAAGGCGTGGCCGGAGGGCGGAGGCTGGGCGGTGCGGGCGAGATGGAGCCGAAACTTGGGTTCCATGAGCTCCTGCACGTTTTCTCCTTCCTGGAGGCCCGAGACCTGCTCTGCGCCGCCCAGGTGGACAAGGTAGCGCGCCCTGGCCGGGAGGCAGGGCTGGCTTTATGGTTCCTGCGTGTCCAAGGCTGGCCCTTTTCTGGGCCTCAGTTTCCCCGTTTGGGGGGCGGCGTCCGGCGGCCAATTCCGTGGTGGGCCGAGCGCGCTGAGGCCGGGGTGGTGACCTGGAGGCTTGTGTGGGTGCTGCGAGCCGCCGCCCCGGGGACTCCCAGAGCCCTGTTCGCTGGTCTGCTGCGGCCCCCCTGCCATCAGCTTTCACTGCCTGGATGGGCTTGGGGGGCCTGTTTCCTTGCCCCTCCCACCTCTTCTGGAACATTCTATAATTTCCCTCTGGGTCTTGTCTGGGAAGCCAAGAGTTTCCTGTGAGTGGTGAGTCCCCTGGGGTCAGGGCGCCCGCACACCTGGGTCCTGGCTGTCATCCGCCCCGTGTGCACCTGCGCCGGCTCCTCCTAGGGCTCCGCACAGCTTAACTGCTGGTATAGTGTATGCAGTTCATGTCCGCTTTCCCCCCGCTGGATTCGTGCCTGACAGCCAGCATCCTGTCTCTGGCACCCAGCGTGCCCTTTGTCAATACTTGTCGAGTCAGGGAATTTCATAAAGGAACCTAAAATACATTTGTTAACCTTAGATAGAAAACTGCCAGTTACCTTACCGGCAAAAATGGGTTTGTTTGGGAGCAACGGAGAATTGCAATTCAAGACCAGCGGGGCCTGGCAAAACCATAGGCGAGTCCAGAGAAGAAAGCTGAAGAGGCTCTTTTACCGAGGAAGGCGAGGCTGGAAGGGCTGTTGCGAACTAAAAGTCCATTGCGGTCAACTGGGGACTGGAAGTGCGGTGGCTTCTCCCTGGCTGGGCTGTTGGGAGGTGGGGTGGGGAGAAATCTTACTCCCTCTGAGGCAGTGAAGGAGTAGCTAGACTAGCATTGGTTTGCAAGGTGCCGGGTCTGCACCCGACCAGGGCTGTGGCCTGAGAGCCCCCCCGCTGGCCTCCAGAGGATTTTCTTTTTCTTTTTTCGTTTTTAAGGTTTATGTATATTTTGAGAGACAGCGTGAGGGGGAAGGGGCAGACAGAGACGGAGAGAAAGGATCTGAAGCGGGCTCTGTGCTGACAGTAGAGGGCCCGGTGTGGGGTTGAACTCCCAAACCATGAGATCATGACCTGAGCCCAAGGCAGACATTTAACTGCCTGAGCCACCGAGGCGGCCCCCCTGAAGATTTTCCTTATTAATTGTCACACATTATCATATCGTTTTACAGAAAGATCAATAAACAGATTCGTGTTTGAATTCCATAACTATATTTAAAATGTGTCAGGTAAAATACCGGGTTTTCATCCCCTTTTTTTTTTACCAATAAAGAGACGGTCCCACCCAGCTAGTCCCATACAGGGCTGGGACTGGATCCCTGCAGCAGGCTAGGGATGGCACAGAGGCAGAGTTAGGAAGGAGGGCCACTTGTACCCTTGGGCAGCACAAGCTTCTCTGGGACATGGTTTCCCTGCTGGGTAAGATGAAGTCAGTTATCCTTGCCTCACTGTGTTGTCGTGAAGGCCAGCATCTAACAGAGGGGTCCTCTGGGTGGGTAGTATTTATTTTTCAGATTATATTGCACATCATACTCTGTGTTTGGGACATAAGGTCTCAATTAGGCTTTGAACTGGGAACTCCATAAAAGGAAAATGCGTAAATCTTCTTGACTGTCTCGGCTTGATTTCTGCAAATTATAAACTTTACATTCCTGCCAAGAAGACCGAGGCACTTTGATCCGGCAGGTGAGCAAGGGCTGTGTGAGCGGGGCCCGGGCTGCGAGGATGCTGTTTGCTTCTGCCAGGGACTGGCCAGCCAGGTTCTGGGATGGGTCCTTCAGTGCATCTGGACCACATGCAACTCTCCAGAGTGGTTCCCTTGGAAGCTGTGTGGGCTCCGGGATCCAGGCTGGCCTGGCTGGAGAGGCCACGGCGTCCCAGGACGCAGCTGTGGGTCCGGGTGAGGGCAGGCATGACACTCTGGTTCCCTCAGATCAGGACTGACTGATCCCGAGCCTCTCTCAAATACTTCTGCAGGGGGCGGTTTATGGGAGCAGGGGACTGTCTCCCGAGATGGCTGTTCTACCATCTTGGCGTCTCTGGGACACCCTCCAGGCCAGTGCCTTTAGTTACTCCTCTGAGGCAGCCTTTCTGGAGCCTGTTGCCCTGCCCTCATTTCCAATTCTTCCTTCTCGAAGGAGCCAGTGATCTAACTAAACAGGCTACCCCGCCACTCCTCCATCCACAATTGCCAAGTGGCTTCTCACTGGTTTTGCCATTACGACTTTGCGAGTTGGGTCTAAGCAGATTTCCAGCTCCTTTCCCCAGAACCCTTTACTCCACTTAAGGCAGAATGCTCACTAGTTTTTTCTCACTTCACAGTCTTTGCTCCAGTAGTTTTCTCTCTCCCTGGAATGCTTCAGCTCTTGGGGATTTTGTCAGTAATCACTTCTGAGCCCCTCAGCTCCACCGACATTGTTAGACTCTCCTTTCTCACTCTTGATTGTTTTTATCGGGCCGTCCACATATGTCTGATTCCCCAGGGTGAGTTTTGTTGCCCACAGGCACTGAGTCTGATCTAGCTCTCTGTCCCGTCTACGGTGCCTGGCAGGCTAGGTGCCAACTGCATACAGACTGACCAGACTTCTCTGTCCTCTTGTTCTAGGTCTGGAATGAGGTTTCAGGGACCAAGGAACTGTGGAGGTAAGTGAAGGAAGAGCCAAACGTGGGCAGGAGAGGGTCCTGCGAAGGTGAGGGGTGTAGCGTGTAAGTGTTTTGAACACCGTGTGTCTGGCTCTACTGAGTACATCAGAAAGGACAATCCGTAGCACCTGTCAGTGGGGAACTACTCCTGTCATGCATGTAGTGAATACTTTTTTTTTGTAGTATATCGAAATATAAGAGATTTTATTAATTGAATGGGAGATTGACATGCATCAGGAGTACCAAACTTGGGCAGATGTGTACAGCAGATGCATGTGGCCAGCTGATAGAAGACAAATCAACAAACCACTTTTACTTTTTTATTTTTAAGTTTTCTTAAATGTTTGTTTATTTTTGAGAGAGAGACACACAGAGTGCGAGCAGGGGAGGGGTGGAGAGAGAGGGAGACACAGAATACGAAGCACGCTCCAGGCTCCGAGCTGTCAGCACAGAGCCCGATGCGGGGCTCGAACTCAGGAACTGTGAGATCATGACCTGAGCCAAAGTCAGACGCTCAACCGACTGAGCCACCCAGGCGCCTCCAAATCACTTTTATTTTAACTCATCTTTGGTGTAACAACATAGCTGTGTATGAACGCATATGGTACTAGAATTTTTCAAAATTTAAAAAATTAAAGTTGAAAATAAAAAATATCTTAATCATTAATTTATTAAGTTTTTTTCTTATTCTTTTTTCCTTTGGAACCTGACTCCTTTTGACCCAAGAGAGGAGTCTCACATCTTCTGTCTCTTGCTGAACATAAGACAGGCTGTGGCCTTGGCTGTCCACTAGGAGCTGTGTTTAGTTTTAGCCACTTATGATGGAAAACAGCTGTTCACACACAAAGAATCTTCCACACTTGGAGGGAATCTCTGCTTGATGGGTTTTGCTTTCAGGGTAATGTTGCAGTTGTGGTCCTTGAGGATTTTGGATGCCAGGCCTGCCACTGCCGTGTTGGGTGTTCTGTGGCATCTGTTGCTTCTCATTCACTTCTTATTGCTAATGTTTGTTAGAAAAATGATGCTGATCTCTTCAGTTAGTCTTGAAGAGAGCTTTTATCGGATTCCAGTCTTCATCTCTGCACTTTGGGGAATGTCTCTGGAGAGAACATTCAGTTCTGGATGTTGATTTCTCTGTAGGGGAGTGGACAAGATTTTTTGTCTTCCCAAATGTGATTCTCAATGACATTGTGTCCTGTGAAATAAATGGATTGGCTCCTGGGTTGGTGTATTTGTGGAAGTGCTCGCAGAGCCGTATTCCCACATTGGAATAGGTAGGAAGCCAGCCCTAACCCTGCTCTTTGTTCTTGTCTCTGCTGAGAAGCCAGGAAGGAATTTGAGTGACGGGAGTGAGTTCCTTCCCACAGCTCAGAAACTATCTTCTGCGGCTTATCACCTGACCTCTGTACGTACGTGTGTGTTACCACGTTGTGCCTCCAGGTGCCTTGGGTAGATGGTTTGGCATTTGTAAACCAAGTCACAGAGTGGTTTCAGTTCATCACTGTTTCATAATTGGTGCTGAACTTTTAGCATAAAGTCATTCCTCAAGATTGTATCCTTGGACTGCGTTCTTATAAAAACCCTGGGTTTAGGGGCGTCTGGGTGGCTCAGTCCATTAAGCGTCTGACTCTTGGTTTTGGCTGAGGTCATGATCTCACAGTTCTTGAATCAAGCTCCACATCAGGCTTCGGATTCTCTCTCTCTGCACCTCCCCTGCTCATGTGCGCGCGCTCTCTCTCTCTCTCTCTCTCTCTCTCTCTGTTTCAAACTTAAAAACACACACACAAAACAAAAAACACTGAGTTTATGTTTCTGGAGCTGGAACAACAGCATTTCAGGAGCATTGTCATCTGTGGTCACATGCATGTCATTTCTGATGCTGTGTCTTATCATGAGGACCGGGCCCCAAAGTTCTCCAGGCCTGTTAGAAATTCTCATGGACACAGTAAATTAATGTAGTTAACTGGTCATGTATTTTTAATATGTATTGTATAATTTTGTTTCTTTTTTTAATTTTTTAAAGTTTATTTATTTTGAGAGTGAGAGAACAAGACTGCGAGCTAGGGAGTGGCAGAGAGAGGGAGGGAGAGAATCCCAAGCAGGCTCTGTGCTGTCAGCACAGGGTCCAAGTGGGGCTAGATCTCATGAACCATGAGAGCATGACCTGAACTGAAATTAAGAGTTGATCCCTTAACCAACTGAGCCACCCAGATGCCCCTGTATTGTGTAATTTTAGTTGGAAATGCTGCAAGGTCCTTTTTTTAATGCCTCAGGACCTTTTAAATTCTGTTTCTTCAATACAGTAAGCGTTATGTTTTGGTTAGAAATAAAATTGCAAATATTTGCTTTTGTTTAAGGTACATAATTTCTATTGTGTACAATAGATTATTTTGTCATTAGTTGCTATCTGAAAAGTTTTGGTATCAGTATTTTTTTCACTTGATATATTGCAATTCAGAGGCATATCACATAATTTATTCATCTTCATACTTCAACCTTTTTGATGGTCTGCCTTCATTTTTGTCAAATCACTTTTTCATTTCTCGGTATTGCTCATAGGTTCTACTTAAGTTTTGAGTGTGTAATATGTAGAAATAGACTTAACTTCCACAAAGAAATGTGCCTTCTCCTCTTTTTCTTAAGCCACGTTATTTTCTTGGTCTAGCTTTTGTTTTCACACTCTTCAGATTGAGGTGCGGGTGCAAGAAATTTCCCTGTCTTCTTATTTCAACTCAAAGCCAACAACAGGAGTGCTGGTTTGAGGTGTCTCGGTCTCACCACCCAGAAGAGAAAAGAGACGGTGAAGCCGAGGGCTCGTTCTTGTGTGAAGGGCTCAGCTTCATGTGGCTCCAGATCCCTTTTGTCCGATGGGAATTTAGGTTCAGCATAACCAGACCCCCTGCCTTTTCCTGATTTTTATGTGAAAACTCAAGAGTTTTAAGTGTCGGCAGCTAGTTCACTGGGCTAATCCTGTGCAGGCCAAACAGAATAATCTGGGGGTCCATTCTGCCCACAGGCTGCCAATATGGTGCTTCTGATAGAAGGACTAGAGTTCCAGCAAACACAGTAAAACCCGTTTGGAGCGCAGGCGGTGGATCCTTCTCCGTGTGTTAGAAGGTCCCTAGTGCCTAGCGCAGGCCTCGCGTGGAGGCACTCGGTGAGTGGAGAGGCGATGAGGACTGGGTGTGGTACTTGTTGAGGCCACGGACCGTGAGCCCCGCATTTCCCACCTGACCTTGTGGTCTCCGTGAGGTAGGAGTGCGGGGCTGGAGCCACATGATGCCACCTCAGCTGTGGGGACTGTAAATGCTGGAAGCCTCTGCCCGTGAAGCCTCCCCAGTCCCCTCCTGGCTGGACATCCGCTCTTGGTGCTCAGTTCCCATAGCTCCACATGTTGCCCCTCCTGAAACGCCACGTTTCTCCCCCGCACTTTTGTTCTGCTCATCCTCCTCCCAATCACTGGCTGAGAGTGCCCTCGGCAGAAGCCGTGTCTCACTTGCTCTGGTGCCCACAGACCGGGTGGGGATTCTGTAGTTCTCTACAGTGTGGCTGAGCTAACATTTCTCTCCTGAAAAGTCTCATGAGAGAGGTGCTGTCAGAGAATTGACAGTAGTCGCACGGAAGCGCAGAATGCAGGCTCTTGGGAAATGGTGGGTTTGAAGTTTTTCTCCTCCCTAAAAGCAACGAGGAAACTGGCACAAATTGTCAAAATCAACTTTTTCAGGACTCTGGAAATTAACAAGAGACTTGTAGTAGCTTAGGAAGTGTTTGTTCAAGAAGAAATATTTGAATCTTAGAACACCAGGTTTTCTTGCCCTGTTCCCATAAAGCCCTCCAGTTCTGTGTTAGCCTTGAATGTCATCAGCGCACAATCACAGTGAGACCAGGAGCCTGGCAGTCACTGGAGGGAGAAGGATGGGATTGGATTTTCGTTCCTGGAAAATTGTCATTATTTGACCTGTCTGGTATTTCTTGGAAGACCCCACGGGCAGACTGTTTTTATTTGGTCTGACTTCGAGTTCACCCAGTATGAAAAGCCTTTTCTTTGGGACCTTTGTCCAAATAATAACAGACAATTGATGAACTTTGTGATTGTCAGGGCTGATGGACAGCAATTGAGCAAACAAGTAGGCTAACCAAAAAGCTTAAAAGGAAAAGCCGAGGACGTGACATCTTTAGGGACTTGGACCTTGAAAAGCTGTCACATTCCTAAAAAGCCCAGGCACGTGTAACAGGGTTTTGCACAAACTCAGGGAAGACCTAAGAAGGCTCTCCACTCACATGTTTGGCTAACCCTGAGGTTCTGTGCAAGTAGGAAGTTAAGTCTAGGGCAGAGTGGTCAACTACCTTACTGGGTGTTGAGTGCATGCCCCAACATGCACAGAAGCCCTTTGGTGATGACTGGGAGAGTTGGTGGTTCTAGGTGTTTGGGAAATCCCTGTCCAATCATTAGTGAGCACTAATTTAACTGGGCGAGAGTTCAGTGGTCACAGGTAACAAAGAATGCAGGCTTTTCAGAATCTATTCAGAAACATCACTAAACAAACAATAATAACAGTAAGGAGGTAGAACAACAAATCTAGGGGTGGGGTCAGATTTCCAGAGTTCCACATTATTTAAAATGTTCAGTTTTCAACAAAAGTAATGAGTCATGCACAGTAACAAGGTGTAGCTTCTACACAGGAAACAAAGCAAACAACAGAAACTGTCTTTGAGAAAGACCAGGCCTTGGACCTACTAGATGAAGACTTTAAATCAGCTATTTTCATTATGTTCAAAGAACTAGAAGAAACCATGTACAAAGAACTAGAAGTAGGACAACGTCTCATCCAATAGAGCATATCAGTGAAGAATCATTATAAAAATAACTAAATAGAAATTATAGAGTAGAAAAGTATGCTATTGACCTTTTTAAGTTTTTTAAGTGTTGTATTTATTTTTGAGATAGAGACAGAGTGTGAGCAGGGGAGGGACAGAGAGAGGGAGACACAGAATCCAAAGCAGGCTCCAGGCTTTGAGCTGTCAGCACAGAGCCCGATGCAAGGCCTGAACTTGTGAACCACGAGATCATGACCTGAGCTGAAGTTGGACTCCTAACCAACTGAGCCACCCAGACACCCCAACCTTTTTAATTTTAAAAACTCAGTATTTGAGCAGATAGAAGATAGAATCAGTGAATTTGAAGATAGGTCGGTGGAGATTATCTGAAGAATAGAATGAATATGAAGAAGGAAGAAAAGTCACCAGTGCCTAAGAAACCTGTGGGCCACCATCAAGCAAGCCAACATTGTATAACAAGAGTCCCAGAATGAGAGGAGAAAGGCAGAAGGAATAAAATATTTAAAGAAATAAGGTGTGGAAACTTCCCAAATTTGATGAAAAATGTTAATTTATACATGCAAAAGCTCAATTAGCTGCAAGTAGGATAAACTCAAAGAGTTACACATCAAGATACATTTGAGGGACATCTAGATGGCTCAATCAGTAGAGCATGCAACTCTTGATCTTGGAGTGATGAGTTCAAGCCCCACATTTGGTGTACAGATTGCTTTTAAAAATAAAATATTTAAAAGGAGCCATTATAATCAAAGGAGAGCTGAAGACCTAGAATCTTGAGAGCAGCAAGAGAGAGGCAACTCCTCATGTAGAAGGGAACCCCAATGAGATGACCAGTTGATTTCTCATTAAAAACCATGAAGCCCAGAAGGTAATGGGATGACATATTGAAGGTATAGGAAGAAAAGCTTGTTACTAAGAATTGTATGTCTAGAAAAATGAAGGAGAAAATGAGGACCTTTTCAGATTAGCAAAAAGCTCAGAGGGTTTGTTGCTATATGCTTGTCCTACAAGAAATCCTAAAGGGAATCTTTCATATTGAAATGAAAGAACATTAGGCAGGAAGTTGAATCCACATTAAAAAATAAAAAAACACTAGTGAAGTAACTCTATAGGCATATAGAAAAAGCAGTATAAATATATTTCTTATTTGTAAGTCTTTTTTTTCCTGTATTATTTAAAAGACAACTGCATAAAACAACTGTAAGTCTCTATTCATGTATATTTAACACGTAAAATGTAATTTGTAGATGTAGCGGCACAGTTGAGAGGAGCAGGAAATGACGCTACAAAAGAGCAAAGTTTTTGAATAATGTTGAAATTAAGTTGCTGTTGGGGCACCTGGGTGGTTCAGTAGGTTAAGCATCTGACTCCTGATTTCAGCTCAGGTCATGATCTCATGGCTTGTGGGTTCAAGCCCAGTGTTGGGCTCTGCACTGACATCATGGAGCCTGCCTGCTTGGAATTCCTCTCTGCCCCTCCCCTGCTCGGGGAAAAAAAAAAAAGAAAGAAAAAGAAATTAAATCGATATTAATTAAAACTAGATTAGTCCTCAAGGCAACCACTAAGAACTCAAAAAACATGATAGAAGAAATGACAAGGGAATTAAAATAGTATATCAGAAAATATTTAAGGGGTGCCTGGGTGGCTCAGTTGGTTCAGCATCTGACTCTCGATGTCAGCTCAGGTCATGATCTCACAGTCCTGAGATTGAGCCCTGCATCAGGCTCTGGGCTAAGTGTGGAGCCTGCTTGGGATTCCGTCCCTCTCTTTCCCCACCTCTCTCACTTGCACCTGTTCTCTCACTCTTTCACAAAAATAAAAATAATTAAAAAAGAAAATATTTAACACCAAAGAATAAGGCAATACTAGAGAAAATGCATCAAACTTACAGAAATAAGTAGCCAAATAACACATAAATTGTGTCTTATCATTGATTACATTGTGTATTTAATGTACACTCCAATAGAGGCTGTTAGAAAGGATAAACAATATTCAACTTTATGCTGTCTACAAGAGACATACTTCAGATTCAAGGACATAGATAAATTGAAATTAAAAGAATGGAAACAGATATACCATGCAACAGTAACCGAGGGAAAGCTGGAATGGCCATGCTAATATCAGACAAAATAGACTTTAAGACAAAAAAGCATTACTAGAGAAAGAATGCCATTTCATGATGTCTATCCACGAAGATCAAAAAATTATAAACATATATACACCTAATAACAGCAACAAAATACACGAAGGGCTGACAGAACTGAGAGGAGAAATAGGCAATTCAGCAGTAAGAGTTGGAGACTTCAAGAAATACTCTTGAATGGCAGTTGCATGACCAAAGCTGCATGCCCTTGGCCTTGGGTCAATTGTTAAAGTTCCCTGTCGTGTACAAGGGGATCAGGTAGACTTCATGGGGGTGTCAGGAAAACTGGCTAATACACAAGAAACACTGACACCTGATGGTGGTGCGCGCTTGCTCATTGTCACTTCCTTGCTTTCCCCATTTTACGGTGGGGACAGTTAAGGCATAGGTAGGCGGAGTGAGTTGTCTAAGCCACTGGATGGTATAGCCAGGAATCAAAGCTAGACCTGTCGACACCACAGTACCTTCTAACGTGTGTCATGTCCCGCCTGGGATCATGGGTCTGCTTTCCAGGCAGCTGTGTCTGAGACGCTGGTCATCCTGTAAAACCTCCCAGATGACCTTGGGCACACAAACATGGAAAGAGTACTATCTCTGCCGATCCGAGCTGGAGTTCCGAATGGAATGTGGGCGGCCAGAGAAGGACTTCATCTGCAAAGCCATTGCCGGGCACACAGGTATGGTGGGGAATGTAGTCCTGTGTGCCTTCCCACTGCTCACTGCTCCTGGTCGAGTGTCGTGGGACTTGGTATTCAGCCATTGAGCAGGAAGGTGACACTTGATGAGTACGTGCCCTGCTGCGTTCTGTATTTGCGCCGTGTCACTTGGTGCCTGCGGTAATCCTGTGAAGAAGGAATTGTTACATTTATTTCAGAGTAGAAAGAAAGAAAGTGAGATATTAGGCACTTGTTTGTGGCTTTGTGGGTGGTGGACAGGGGCAGTCCAGGGTGCGAAGCCCTAGTTCTTTCTGTCTACTGCTCACCCCTAACGAGCACCTGTGTGCTTCTGGGAATGCAAGAGGAAGGACTGTCCTGCCTGTCTTTCCCCAGTCTGAGTGTCCATATCCCAGGCATCTGTGTATGCATTCAAGGCCAGTCTGTGTTCTCTTCCAGGAGAGATAGACGAGCTGGCTTACATCTCAACCAAGGAGTGCCGGTTTGATGGGCAAGAGAAGTCCATGGTGTGTACCGTGTCCTCGGACAGCACCGTCCGTGCCTGGGATGTGCAGGAGGTGAGCCTGTGGAGGGGCCAGGGTGTGACCCGCTGGGTCTTAGTGAGGTCTTTCCCTTTTGCCAGCTGTTTAACCCTCCTGGCCAGCTTGGAGGTGGTGGGATCCCCGTGGTACGGACGAGAACTCTGAGCTGCAGGAGACCTGGTCACACTCGGAACTCAGGTCTGATCGCAGATGGAGCCTGATCTGCCTTTGACTCTGTGCTGCCTGCCTCGGAGAGGTGGCCACCTGCCTCAGTGCCAGTCCCGGACCTGCGGCGTCTACTTTGGAGCCAGTGCCCAATCTGGGTGGTTTTTCCCAGACAATTGCCACTTTTAGTTACCCTCGTCTACCAATTAAGTGTTGAGACCTTGATAACACGATCGGTGTTTTCACGGTTGGTTGTCACAGTTAAAAAGCTTCCTGGTCTTATTTTCTCACGTGGTTCTCACAGCAGCCAAGCAATATGTGCATTGTTATCATCATGATTTTATAGACCGTCAGTCCAAGACCAAGAGGGAAGGTGTCTCGGAGTCTGGAATCATGTGGTTCCCTGTAAATCCATGGGTTCTGTGCTTGTAGACAGAACCCAACCTCCTATAAAGGACTTTTTCCTGGATAACTACAGATCAACTCACGATTTTCCAGGTCCTTGCTACATTAGGTAGGGAGCCTGCTCATGTCCCCGTTGGTCAGGTCTGCTGGAAGTGCCCGGTCCTGCTCATGGGAGCCTCGTGCACCGAGAGCAGAGGGGCTCCCCTGACCCCCCTGGCCCCTGTGAACAGGGCATCCTGACTCTCAGCAAACTTCCTTGTCAGTGTGCGAGGGAAGCAGACCACTGGGAGCTGCGTCTTTGCACCCCCATGCTAGCCGTGGGGTCACTGCTCTGCCCACACGTCACGTTAGAGTCTGGTAAGTGTGGGTGTGCACCACATTTGGCCACATGGGGACACTTGAGAGGCCACCCGAGGCTCCTGGTGGTGAGTGAGCCTCAAAAGCCTTAGCTGGGCTCTCGCCAGATCGTGAGGGCCAGGGGGCTGGGGCAGGGTCTGGGGACAGAGGCGGGTGGTGCTGGGTGGGGGGACTTTGGGGATGGGCTGTGGTTAGTTACAATTTATTTTGCTTTTGAATCATGAAAGTGAAACAGTTGAGGGTTTGGGAAGGTCAGGACTAGGAGATATTTCATGGGTGAAATAGTTCTCCCTGCCTCTTCTCAGCAGCTCTTCCCAGAGGTGACCACTGTTCAAGTGCTGTCTGAACCGGTTCCCGGTTCAATTCACCAATGTTTATGTTAGTAGACTCAGTTTCTCGATCTGCATGCTTCGGAGGACATGTTGTCTGCCTACTTTACAGAAACTTCTCTAGTTTCCAGGTCCCCATTCTTATCCCCTATTGTTCTGTTTTGTTTAAAGGGTCCAGAGTCATTTGTGTCCTTTCTCTCTGCTCTATGGTCAGGTTTTCGGTTGTTGTTGGTGGGTTCCTGTTTCTTGTGCTTGGTTTCTAGGGTCATTTCGTGGGAGGGCCCTGCGTGTGCCGGTGCGGGGGGCTCCCCGCCTCCTTGTGCCTTCTCTGAGGACCCGCCTTAGCTGCAGACCCCTAGCCAAGGTGTGTGGATCCAGGCCAGGACCTGGCAGGAGACCTGGCAGCTGGGAGGGCCCAGCACTGCCCAGATACATGGTTCTCAACTTGAAAGGGGCGGGCGCCTGCGTGGCTCAGTCAGTTAAGCGTCCGACTTCGGCTCAGGTCATGATTTCGTGGTTTGTGAGTTTCAGCCCCGCGTCGGTCTCTGTGCTAACAGCTCAGGGCCTGGAGCCTGCTTCGGTTTCTGTGTCTCCCTCTCTCTCTTCCCCTCCCCTGCTCATTTTCTGTCTCTCTTTCTCTCTCAAAAATAAATAAACATTAAAAAAATTTTTTTTAGGGGCACCTGGGTGGCTCAGTCGGTTAAGCGTCCAACTTCGGCTCAGGTCATGATCTCACAGTCTGTGAGTTCGAGCCCCGTGTCAGGCTCTGTGCTGACAGCTCAGAGCCTGGAGCCTGCTTTGGATTCTGTGTCTGCCCTTCCCCTGCTCATGTTCTGTCTCTCTCTGTCTCAAAAAGGAATAAAAACATTAAAAAAAAAAAAAGGGAGGAGAGTGCTTTGGTGCAGACTCAGCCGACATTTTCTGGAAAGAGCCCTGTGGTCCCGTTGCAACCGCTCAGCTCTGTCCTGCAGGAGCGGAGAGCAAAGAGAGATACGCTGTGTTCTGGCTGAGCTCGTGATGCGGCTGATGGACAGGTGCACATGTTTTCATGTGTCGTGAAGTATTCCTTTGATTTTTTTTTTTTTCCACCAAAATACAAATATGGGCAGTGGGCCAAGTTGTTCTTGCGTGTGGTCTGTGTTTCCATCATGGGCCTGTTTCAGAGCGGTCTGTGCACATTCTGCCTGGTTGCACAACCTCAGTACTCTGCACGAGCAAATCTCTTGTAGAAGACAACCCCTCTTTCCTCCTCCTACATCCACACAGGATAACCTTCCTGTCCCCACATAATAATGTGTATTCTTAGTATTACAATCATTGTGTAAAAGCTGTTCACATCAAGCCAAGAGGCGAACTAACATTTTGCTTTTCTGGAAGTGAATAAATATTCCTAATCTGTTGAGACCACATTTTTGACTGGTGATACTGGTGTCTGATCTGGCTGTCTATCCGGTTGTATCCACTGCCCCCGGAGAATTCTAGGGTTTGAGTTTGTCTTTTTCTGGCATCAGTCTTGGTGCCACCAGCAGAGCCCCCTTCCTTCCTGTGGCAGGCGTGTGGCCTGTGGTCCCTGGCACGTTCCTGCAATCTGTCCCCCTGACCTCCTGCAACCAGGAGTCTCTTGCCTTCTTCACTGACGCTGTGTTCCTCAGCACTCCCTGCCCTTCCCCCATCACTGGTGCCCAGCTCCTGCTCGCCGAGCTCTTGCTGGTTGATGGTGGTCATCACCTTGCTGCTTGAGCAACAGAAATCAGCTGAGAAAGCAACCCGTGGAGGAGTCAGACATCTGGTTGGAAAGAGATACAGATCTTGGTGCAATGAACATGTGCTAGAACAAGGTCGTAATGACCCGGCACTGGAAAGGAAGCCCAGGGGGCAGCCCTGGGACACTGGGACAGTGGTTAGTGGATGGTTCTCTGCCGCCCTTCAAGTACCCTGGGCCTACTGGCACTGACTCTTTACCACCGATTCCAGTTGTACAGTCCTGGGAGGGGCTGTGGAATCATCCAGCTCGGGCCTCGGCCAGGGCACGCCATAGGAAAGGGGGTGTTCTGCGCGGGGCAGCACAGACATGCCCTGTGAATATTCATACCTGCGAGCCTGAGTTAGCCGATCTAAATGGGGCTGCCTGAGGACAGGCGAGAAGTTCTCTCTATGCAGCCATAGTGGCCCAGGCTGCGCTCCCTGGCCGGCCTTCCTCAGTGGAGCCGGGTAACCACCGTGTGCACGCCTGGCCCCCCGCCCCCCAGTGCTGGTGGTGCCTCTCAGCCCTGGGGAATTTCCACACACCCTCAGTTTAGCCACTGCTCTCCAACGTCTGTGTTGTGCTCTTTGCTGCGTGGATCCCGTGAGGGTGGGGACCCCGCTCTTCCCCCTGTGCATCCCCTGTGCGCACTAGGGAGTGATTGTTGAACGAACAAAAACAGTACGTTTGTGAAACGAACAGCCCCCAAGTAAGTTGTTATGTTCCTTTTGTTGTTGCCCAGGGCACAGAGATCTGGTCAAGCCCTCTGCAGCCCGCTGCTCTGGTGAACGTGGTGACCTTCCCTCGGCTCCAGCTGGCCATCACCGTGGATGAGCGTGGCCTCATCAAGGTTTGGGGAGCGGAGAACGGATGGGAGCAGGCCTCCTTCCGCCTGCCTACATTCTCGTCTGCATTGCAGGCCTGCGAGCATCCAGAGGGCCCTTTCCTGCTGGTGAGTGACTGGCTCTCAGGAGCCTCTGCGTGTCCTAGCCGTCCCCCAGGGTCGTGGACACTGTGATGGGGGGCGCCTGGAGCTGGGCGCTCGCTGTGGCAGACCAGGCAATGATTCTGCTGTCCGCACAGCCGGTCTCCCTGGCCCCCCTCTGCCAGTCCCCAGGTGTCAGCGAGACCTGGTCGTGGGCTGCCTGTGCCCTTGCTTTCTGCCTCCTGACCTTGCTTGTATTCTTTCGTCTCCCTGCAGTTTCTTCTCTCTTCTGCATTCTTACCCTTCCTTCCCTTGTTTCAAGTCCCAGCTATGGTCCAACTCAGGAGAAGCTGAGGCACGTCTGACAAAACATGAGCGTTTGCCCAGGACACCAAAGGCTACTGTTAACCAGGATGTCCATTTAGAAGTGACTCAGGCATCGGGAGGGTTTGGTGAGAAGAAACCAGGAAAGCGGGTTTACGGTGGCAGGTGGACGAAGTGGCTCTTGGCTGGAGGCAGTGTCCCCACCTGTGGGGAGGAGGCCCTGGAAAGGACGGGCAGGCTGGTGTCCCAAATATCAGGAGGAGCGGGTATCCTGGAGCAGCTTTATGTGTGCACGGAACCAAATGGAAAGGGACTAAGCTCAGCAAACAAAACAAGTAATGTCTAGTGAAACAGATTTCTCATAAACCACTCTGCAATTGTTGAAGACTTTAGAGTAAGTGTGATTGGTATCCCCAGATGCGTTTGAGAATCTGTCACGCAAACGAGGAGGCCGTAGGCTCTCCCTGGGAGTGGTAGACGGTGTGATGCCCAGTTACTTGTCTGCGAAGGGCCGTTGGAGAAGTCAGAGCGCACACAGTAGTGGAGAGCAGAGAGCTAGGTGCAACAAAAGGGTCCGGACCGCGGTTCAGGAGATGCGGCGGAGACCAAGTGCTGAGCCCAACGCTGCGGCTGCTTTGCCCTGGAGACGCTTTCCCCAGGCAGCCGAGAGGCCACAGACCTTTGAGAGCTGAGGGGACGAGTTGGCGTGCGGGGCCACTGAGGGTCAGGCCCCGTGCCTCCCCTTTTACTTGGGGGTTGTCAAGTGGTACGGCCCAAGAGGAGGGTGTGAAGGTTGGCAGGTGCCCACCCTGGCTGCAGCCTGGCACCCCGGCCACCTGGGAGGAGTTTGCGAAAATCCTTCCTGGGCCAGGATAACACCACCGAGACCTCATGTTATTCCCGTTTGCAAATGTAGCATTCAGCACACATTTAGAGCTAAGGGGACCACGAGAGAGGAACTAGTACCAGCCACAGTGGCTGGGTGAACCGCGGGTGACGTCGGGAGAGCCACAGGGTTTCAGACGCTGCAGTTGCTGCACACTGAGACAGCTGTGGCCTCTGTGTCCAGGGAGGTGACTTTGAACAGAGAGCTCAGAACTATGAAAAATGACGCAACAGATTTAGCAAAGAGCCAAGTAGAAATTCCAGAACAGGGAAATGGGGCACAAAGGTTAGCTCGGGGGCTGGGGGTCATAGCAGGGTGGACAGTGGAATCACTCTAGGATGGGGGGCATAGGAGAGCTTGTGGGCCTCTGGCAACTTCCAGTTTCTTACTTGCATGGCGACGTGAATATTTGCTTTGTAACAATGTATGGAGTGCTATATTTGTGTTTTGTGCACTTTTCTGTCTATGTGTTTTCTGCATCAGTGAAAAGTTCATAAGAGAGGTCACCTGGAGTGACATGGGGATGTCGAGTGAGGTGAATGGGAAGAGAGGGGAGGAGATGTAGACAGTGCTCCTCAGGCTTTGGTGGATTGTGAACTATCGAGGTGTTGTTTAAATGCAGATTCCGATTCGGTGAGTCCCCAGGGGTGACTAAATTCTGACTTTTTAACAAGCTTCTTGGTAGTATTGGTACTGCCTGTCCGCAGACGACACTTTGAGTAGCAAGGCCATAGAGGAAGACCCATGACAAATTCTGGTATTTGGTAGCAGGAGCAGGTGAGGGAGTGCATGGGTCAAAGGCAACATTTGAAGAGGTGACAGCAGATGTTTTCCTAAAGTAGACTGAGGACGTTAATCTCTGGAATCAAGAAGGCCTGTGAACCCCAAGGGGGATAAACCAAAATAGATCTGCACACGGGCCTGTCAGAGTGAACTGAGATTATCCAAGGACCAAGAAAGCACACGGGCCCGTCAGAGTGAAGATTATCCAAGGACCAGGAAAGCAGCCTGGGGACGTAGACTGCCTTCAGCCTCTGACTTGTTAACAGCAACTATGGGACCTCAGAGACAGTAGAATGGTGTCTTGGAAGAAATAATTGCTGGCCAGGAATTCTAGAAGAGAAAGTGTCCTTCAGGAATGGAGGGGAATGAAGGCATGTCAGATAAAATGGAGACTTGGCACCAGCCACACCACCAGTGAGAAGGACACGCGTGGGGCTCGAAGCAGAAGGAAGATGAGCAGAGCTGGCATCCCAGGGTGTCGGGAGACATTGATGAGCAGCACTGGCGGAGGCAAGGAGATCTGAGGGCACCGACTGTAGAACAGCAGTGACCGTGTCTTGTGCAGAAAAGAAATTTGTGATGTCAGCACTTACATTAGGAGAAGGTTAGGAAGCACTAAACAGCCCAAGATCCTTGAATTGGGCGGGCTGAGTCACGTACTGCTGGGCAGGGACGTCTGTTAGGCAAGGCCGCATGTAGCAGGGAGAAACGGAGGAGCGTGTAACCTTTAAATCGTGAGAGGAAAAGGGATGGGATCAAGTCTGGCACCAAATTCGGCTTATCGAGCCTGATGAAGCCACATGAGCCCCAAGAGGATATGCAGAGGTAATCTGCCATGTACCAATCTGCTTTTGGGGACAGTGGCTCCCAGGAGGCTGGTCTGAATGGCTGGAGGCCAGCAAGTGACTGGCTTACTCTTCCTGGGGGTGGAGTAGGCGGTGGGAGGGCTAGTGCGCAGGGGCCGGGTTTCTGTGGGTCGAGTTCTCGGCAGGTGCTCTTTATCTGCTCGGCCTGGTTGGGAACAGAGCCGGGGGACCAGCAGGCCTAAAAGCTGTCAGCAGCCAAACATCAAAGGTGGAGTCGGACTCCAATATGCTTCCCTTCTGATGATTTTACTGTGATTCTGTCTTCGGGCCGATGGCTGAAATGTGCAGATTTTATCTCCTTGAACCAGGGCTTGCGTGAGCCAGCCATTTGTGCGGTGCCCCATGAGGCTCATAAGGTTCGTCCGGGAGCTCGAGTGTTGTGTATTTGAGAAGTGAAGTGAGTACCTTGGTCGCTGTTGGTATGTCTGGGTCTCCAGAGGGGAGGCGGTGTCTGCTATGTGCGGAGACATGTGTGATGGCCATTTATGTCTTGGGGGGGGGGGCGGGGAGTCCAGGGTTCCTGAGGTCTTCACCAAGAGGGAGAATTTTGGACGAGACGCTTTGTTTCTGGCCACATGGCTGCAGCGCTGGCAATGGCCTGAGAGCGTAAATGTGCATCTGTGGCTGGTCCTTACCTGGGGCTTCCCGGGCTAAGGTGACCGCCCGAAGTTAGGTCCACATTTATCAGGGATGTTCCCGTTAGCAGGTGGCCTGCGGTGGTGGGCCCTTCGCGTGCGATGGCAGCAGTGCGGCCTGTGCACTGCGGGATCGCTCTTTCCTATTTATCTAGAGGGTGGCCTTCTCCAGGGTCCTTGCATGTGACACGGGTCTGAGGACAACAGGAAGCTCCTTCCTTGCGCAGAGGGAAAGCCCAACATGACCCAGGCCTGCCTGGGTCCTGAGGATGCCATTTTTAGGTCAACAGGGAGGCTTCTGTGGCTGTGCTGAGCCTGCAAGGTGCTGCCCCCACATCCCCAAGACATAACGCCTCCCTGGGAAGTCGGGGGCTCAGACCCTCTGAGCACCAGCCACACCACAGGGCCCAGATGCGGCCGGCAGCATTCGCTGGATGGGTTGTTGTGTGGACAGCAGGCTTTGGCCACAAGCACTCGTGTTTTTTGGGTTGCCCTGTAGGAGGATGGGGCAGGGTCAATTCCCTACTGAGATTTGGCTCAGACTTGGAGATTGCTAATTCTGTACATGTACTGGGAGAGGATGGTAAAGGGTATCCCCACTCACCACCCCCCAAATTCATGTCTACACAGAGCCTTAGAATGTGACCTTATTTGGAAATGGTGTCTGGTTAAGGATCTCAGGTAAAATCATCCTGGATTTAGGTTGGGCTGTCATAAAGGGAGGAGAAGACACAGACACACAGAGAAAGCCCTGTGCACACTGAGGCAGACAAGTCAAGGAAAGCCCTAGAGTCTTTAGAAGGAAAGGGCCCTGCCAGCACCTTGATTTTGGGCTTCTAGCCTCTAAAACCATGAGAGAATTAAATATATATATATGTTTTTTTTTTTTTTTAAGCCACCTGATTTGTTATTGCAGCCCTAAAAAGTTAATATAAGACTCTAAAATGGAACACTTTGGGGCCCCTGGCTGGCTCATTGGGTAGAGCGTGCGACTCTTGATATCAGGGTTGTAGGTTCAAGCCCCATATTGGGTGTGGAGATTTATTAAAAATAAAATCTTTTAAAAAACCCAAAAAACAAAAAACACTTAAGGACGTTTGGAATGAAAAGGATGAGAAGAGGACACGCACTAGAGATGCTAACCAAAAGCAGGCTGATAAGCTATTAATGTTAGGCCAGAAGACTTCAAGATAAAAGTCATTGCTAGATATTCAGGGACGCTTTGCAATAATAATTAGATTAGCCTCCTAGGAAGATACAGCAAAGATAATTTTGGATGCACCTCAAAATTGGCCTGAACTATATAGAACAAAATTTGTGGGATTTCAAGGAGACTGGTCAAACCTACAGGCATTATGAGAAGTTTGTTACACAGCTAAAGGAAAATGATCTGGGTGGGCCCACTGAAATCCCATGAGCGCTTTGAAGGCAGAGAGTTTTCTCTGGCTGGACACAGAAGAAGTCAGAGGCTGGAGCCCTGGGGGGCAACTCACGTGAACCGGTCATTGGCTGCCATGTTGTGGGGGGGGGCCT